TGCTGCTGCTGCTGCTGTGGGAAGCAATGAAAATGATGAGTTATCTGCTGCAGCTGTTGCTGCAGCTGTGGAAAGCAGTGAACATGAAGAGGCATCTGCTGCAGCTGCTGCTGCAGCAGTAGAATGTCCAGAGGCTGCTGCAGCTGATAAGGAAGCAGCCGCAGCAGCAGAATCAGAGGAAGCAAATGGCTATTCCGCAGCGCAGGCTGCTGCTGCTGCTTCTGCTGCTGCTGTTGCTCCTGTTGCTGCTGCTACTGCGGGGGTGGCTTCTTTGTGGAACGCAGCAGGTGCAGCAACTGCTGCAACTGAAATGGTCTTTCAGGCTGCTGCTGCTGCTGCAGCAGAAACAGAAGCTGCAGCAGGTACTGCAGCAAAAGCGGCAGCAGGTGCAGCAACAGAGTTACAATCAGGAAATACAGCAGCTGAGGCCTTCGGGGAGAGCGAAACCAGCGCTTCAGCAGCAGCAGCTGCAGCAACTGCTGCACAGTACGTTACTTCTGCTGCTGCTGCTGCTGCTGCAGAAGGACCGGATCTAGGGACGGCTTCTGCAGCAGCATCGCAGCATCCTGACGGCACTGAGCAGCAGCAGCAGCAGCAGCACCAGCAGCACCAGCAGCTGGACATAGGACAGGCCCCCGTAACAGAAAGCCCACTAGCTGCTGCTGCAACTGCGGCTGCTGCTTTTCCTGCTGCTGCTGCTGCTGCTGTACCACGCGGTGCAGCAGAAGTACCACGCACACCAACAACAGATGCTGCAGCAGCAGATGCTGCAGCAGTAGATGTTGTAGCAGCAGGTGCAGACGAGTTGGAGTCCCATGGTGAGACTTGGGAACAGCAGCAGCAGCAGCAGCAGATGGAAGAGGAAGACTTTTTTGAGGTGCAGCATAAGACAACGGCGAAGGAGGATTTTGTTTTTAAAGGCCAGCGGCAGCAGCAGCAGCAGCAGCAGCAGCAGGATGTTGAGTCTTCAAGCGATGATGAGTCCCTGGATTTGCTCGCGATTGAGGCGCAGCAAAAAGAGACACAAAGGAAGCAGCAAAAAGATTACAGCAGACTTTGGAAGGTCTTCGGAAGACAAACAGACGCAGGTCTGCTGCTGCTCTTGTTGTTGCTGCTGCTGCTGCAGCTGCTGCTGGAGGAGCTGTTGCTGTTGTTGGCGCGGCCGCTGTTGCTGCTGCAGTTGTTGCTGCTGCTGTCGCTGCGGGACCTATTGCTGCTGTTGCCGCGGCTGATATTTCTGGTGCTGCTGCTGCTGCTGCTATAGCCGGCACACAAAGGCTCTTTTGCTGCTGCTGTTGCTGCTCTTGACTGCTGCTGCTGCTGCGGTTGCTGCTGCTGCTGCAGGACGGTTGTTGTTCCAGCTGTACGCAAGGACGCAGCCTCGTGGCTCACTGGGATCCCGCATTGTCCCTCTCCACGTACGTCGCTGCTGCTCCTGCTGCTGCTGCTGCTGCTGCAGCTGCTGCTGCAGCTGCTGCTGCTGGTGCTGCTGCTGTCTTCATTAGGGTTGTGCATAGTGAATCGTGACTGTCAAGTAATCCGCAGCTGCCCGTGAAACTGGCCATTGTACATTGTTGTTGCTGCTGCTGCTGTTGTTGTTGCTGCTGCTGGCAGTCTCAGACGAAGACCTCTGGCAGCGGCCCGGCTCCGCTGCTGCTGCTGCGGGAGAGTGACTCTGCTGCTGCAGGAGCAGCAGCACGGCGCAGGGAGAAAGGGAAGGCTAGCTACAGGCAAGGCCTTGTGAACATCCCCGTTGTGGGGAGGAAGCAAATAGCAGCAGCAGCAGCAGCAGCAGCAGGCCCACCCGCTGCTGGTGCTGCTGCTGCTGGGCGCGTGCGGCGCCGCCCGCTGCGGAAGACGCTGCAGCAAATAATGGCGGAGACGAAGCGCAGCATGACGCTAGAGCAGCAGCAGCGGCAGCAGCAGCGGCTGCAGCAGCAGCTGCTGCTGCAGCGCTGCGACAGCTTCGACAGAGAAGCACAAAAGGATGAACTAGCCAAAGCCTTTCAGCTGGGGGAATGTTCTTTGCTGCCTCCGCAGGCCCGGCTGCCTTCTTTGGCTGCAGCACGGAAAAAAGAGTTCCTTTCGGGGACTAGCAGCTAGCTAGCTAGCCAGCTGGCTAGCTGGCTAGCTAGCTAGCTAGCTGGTCAGATGCCCAGGTTAGGGGCCCGCGGGCCGGTGGAAAAAGCGCGCCTGGCTAGCTAACTAGCTAGCTGCCTTGCTAGCTAGCTGCCTGGCCAGCTAGCTACCTAGCTAGCCGCCTGGCTAGCTGTTGGCGCGGCTAGCTGCATAGCTAGCTAGCTTTCTGGCTAGCCGTTGGCGCAGCTAGCTAGCCACGGCAACACTGCGAGCTAGCCCGGTGGCTAGCTGTTGGCCAGAGAGTCAGAGGGAGGAGAGGCTTGGCTAGATAGTTAGCTAGCTAGCTAGACTCCCATTCATCAAACCAAGAGGCTGTTGCAGCCCTAGGGCCAGCTAGCCAACTAGCTAGCCACTCAGCTAGCTAGCTAGCTGGCTAGCCGATGGCTAGTCAAGGACCCGCCTGTTGCCTGCATCCGGCCTCTAGCAGAGTCCACATCCTCCCACGTGAGGGAGGCAGGCTGGCTAGCTAGCTGTTTAGCTAGCTAGCTAGCTATTTACCCAGCTAGCTGGCTGGCCAGCTAGCTGTTTAGCTAGCTAGCTAGCCAGTTACACAGCGAGCTAGCTAGCTGGCTGGAAAGCCATTTAACTGCATAAACAGCTCCGCAGCAAGCTGGGAAGTCAACTAGCTAGATAAGCGATGGCTACTCTAGGCGGCTGGACAAGCAGCTAGCTAGCTAGCTAGCCAACCAGCCAGCTAGCTAGATAGCTAGACATTCTGGAACCAGCAGCAAATTCCCTAAGCAGAAGCAACTAAGGCAGCTAGCCGCACGGACTAGTTGCCGCCGCTAGACCCATGACCGCTAGCTAGCTAGCCAGCTAGCCACCTATCTAGCTAGCTGGCTAGCTAGCTAGTTGCGCAGCCTCCGGCTAGCCAGCTCGCCAGCTGCTAGCAAGACCCTTGAACTGAAACTGCTACAGCGAGCCGCCTGGCTTCGAGGATGCTCACAGCTGATGGCTAGCTAGCCATTTGGCTAGCTAGCTAGCCATGTAGCTAACCAGCTAGCTAGCTAGCTAGCTAGCTAGTCAGTTCGCTAACCAGCTGGCTAGCTAGCTGGCTAGCTAGCTAGCTATGTGTAAGAGGGGCGCAAAAAGGGCGATGCCGAAAAAGGCTTCTAGACTTAAGGTGTAGTTACAAACAAACACATTTGTTTTTATATAAATGAGTAAATATATTTTTTTATATAAATGAACAAATATGTCCATTTACATAAATGAATAAATATATTCATTTAGATACTTCTACACTTTCATACACAGGATCAAGAAAACCCACAAATGCCTTCTCCCCACTGGGGGGCCCCCACTCGGGGGCCCCCCTTGGGGGCCCCCCCTTGGGGGCCCCCCTGAAATAGCGACATTTGGGGCCCCCTAAATGGGGGCCCCCAGGGGGGACCCCGGGGGCCCCCCGTGGGGGCCCCTAGGGGCCCCCTGAGGGCCCCCCGGGGGCCCCTGGAAAGCCCTAGGAGGGCCCCCTGGGGGGCCCCCGAGAAGCCCCTGGGGGCCCCCCAAGGTCCCCTGGGGTCCATTAGAGGGGGCCCCACATTGTTAAGTAGAAAGGGTACATGCGTGCTGCTGTTCTACTGCAGCAGCAGCAGCAGCTGCTGCTGCTGCTTCTGTTGCTGCTGCTGCTGCTTAGGCCGCTGTTGCTGGCGTTTTTGCTGTCTTTGTTGGGCCATGAGGGAGCTGGGTGGTTGCTGCTGCTGCTGGAGAGCAGCGGCAAATAAAAATAATAACAAATGGCAAGATGATTGGATAAAAAATAAACAATAAATAACAATAAATGATAAATAACAAACAGCAGCAGCAGCAGCAGCTGCTGCTGCTGCTAAGCAGACTCTTCCTTGAGGACAGATTTCATTCGGGCGCAAATTTGTTCGACGAAGGGCAGCAGCAGCTCGACTTTGGCGCTGCAGCCGCCCTGCTGCTGCTGCTGCTGCTGCAGCAGCAGCAGCCCCTTGCTCAGCCGGCTCAAAGACAACACAAAGTGCTGCAGCAGCAGCCACAGCTGCTCAGGAGGAACTCCATTTTCGCTGACAACTCTGGCGAGTTTCCCATGAACATAAAGATCGCTGAGGTAACTGTTGGCAGCAAGCAGCTCCGTGGTGCGCCTGCTGCTGCTGCTGCTGCTGCTGCTGCTGCTGGTGTTTGGGGGCGGTGCGAAGCGCGGCAGCCGCAGCAGCGCAGCAGCAGCTCCTGCTGCTGCTAATGTTTCTTTTGGAAATGGCAAAGACACTTCAATGTTGTCTTCTAAAACCTCCAAAGACACTCCAACTTCTTCATCCCGCATGCAACTCAAAGCCCCAAACGGAGACTGCAGGCTGAACCCGTGCACCTGCAGCAAAATACCCTCACAAAGCTGCTGCTGCTGCTGCTGCTGCTGCTGATGCTCTTGTATTGCTGCTGCTGCTGCTGCTCTTGTGTGGCCGCTGCTGCTCCTGCTCTTGTGTTGCTGCTGCTGCTGCTGCTCTTGTGTTGTTGCTGCTGCTGCTGCTCCTATGTTGTTGCTGCTGCTGCTCTTGTTTTGCTACTGCTGCTGCTGCTCTTGTTTTGCTACTGTTGCTGCTGCTACTGGTGTTGTTGTTGCTGTGTTGCTGCTGTTGCTGCTGCTGCTCTTCAAGATTGTGTACAACATACGCAGCGAGAAAATCTGGAAATTACATTTAATTAATTAATAAAAAATAAAACCATTTGAATCTTTTATCTGCAGCAATTTTCACCCCCACCGTCTCTTTGTACTCCTCCAGCAGCGTCTTGCCCTCTCCCTGCTGCTGCTGCTGCTGCTGCTGCTGGTCTTCGGGATTAACTCCAAAGTACAAACCCGTAAATGGCAAAGAAACATCTTTTTCTCCCCAGCCCTTTTGCCCCCGCAGTGCATTTGCTGCTGCAACCAAGCAGCTGTATGTACTCCGCAGCGCCTGGAAGCAGCAGCGGCAGCAGCAGCAGCAAAGAGTTAATTCCGAATATTTAATTCTCTAAAATATATCTCTTTTATGCCACAAACAAACAAACCGAAGCTATAAGACAAAAAAGAAAATAACAAATTCATTAATGAATAATTAATGGATTAATTGAAAATGAGAAACAAACAACAAATAATAAACAATACATGATAAACAGTAAGTAACAACAATAGAATAAACAATAATGGAATAAATAATAGTGGAATAAATAACAAACAGACAAAATGACAAACAAGTGCAAACAAGGGGAGGCAGCAGCGCAGCAGCAGCAGCAGCAGGTCGCGGTCTTCGTGTCCAATTTGCAGGTAAAAAAGTAAAAGAAGAATTAAATATGAAGGACTAAATGAGAAAAGTAAAAAGAGGAATTAGTTGTTTGTTTTCAATTAATTTAGGACTTAAAATGCTGCATTTAAAGATCCAATTTATGAAAGGAAATAAATTTAATCTTTTAATTTTGTATTTTTTACCATTTGATAAAAAGCCTCAACAGCTATTTGAGCATCTCTTGGCAGCTTCGGGCTGAAAGGTCTGACGGATTCTGCTGCTTGCTGCTGCAGGTTTGCTGCAGCAAGTTCTGCTGCTGCTGCTTCCCAGCCTGCAGTAGCAGCAGCAGCTCGCGCGCGCTGCCGCGCTGCTGCGCGCCGCTGCAGCAGCAGCTGCTGCAGCACGAAATTCGATTGCACTTTGCTGCTGCTGCTCGGGTCGCAGCATAAGCACAGCAGCTGCAGCAGCAAACGTTCCTTCTCCCCCGTGCTCCGCTGCGGGTCTGCTGCTATGTCCCCCAAACAACCTGCAGCAGCAGCAGCAGCAGCAGCAGCAGCGGCAGTGGGAATTTTGCTTCTGCTGCTGTTTCTCCACAGCTAACATGTACTATATATATATTGTATCCCAATGGACACACAAATATACATAAAAATATAAATACAAATATAAATATAAATACGTAACTATAAACGTAAATCTAAACGTAAATATAAATATAAATATAAATATAAATGTAAATATAAATGAAATATATGTAATGGACCAATTTACACGCGACACCCATCAGCAACAAAAAATAAAAGTTAAACAAAATAAAAATAATAATAAAAATAAAAATAAGGAGCAACAACAAACAAATAGACGGTATTATGGCCAACAAAGAGGACGCAGAGCTGCTGCTGCTGCTGCTGCTGCTGCTGCTTGCCTGCTAGCAGCAAGAAGAGCAGCAGCACCGCGCCGCTGCCGTTCTCGTATAGCAGTTCCGCAATAAATCCAAAAATGTTTAAACCACAATCTTCTTCAGTGTGCACGAAGCGAGCCAGCAGCCCAGAACGCAGCAGCAAATCGGAAGTGAACCTGCAGCAGCAGCAGCAGCAGCAGCAGCAGCAAGAGCACACGCAGCAGCAGCATGGACACTTCGACAGCAGTGCCAGCAGCAGCAGCAGCACCGCCACCCCCCGCAGCAGCATCAGCAGCTGCAGCACTCTGAAGACCACCAGCAGCAGCAGGATGAGCAGCTGCAGAGCAGCATGAGCAGCAGCAGCATGAGCAGCAGCAGCATGAGCAGCAGCAGCAGGAAGAGCAGCAGCAGCAGCAGCAGCAGCAGCAGACCTGACGTGGTATCTGATGTGGAACCTGAGGACCTGGAGCTGCTCTTCAGAAGGCATTTTGTTGGAAGCAGAAAGAGAAAATAAAGGATTCAAAAAAAGTCTTTTGAAAGCAGCATCAAGTTGCTGCTCAAAGGCCCCCCGCGCCTCCAGCTGCGAATTCAGACGCAGAGTTCTCAAGCCTGAGCAGCAGCAGCAGCAGCAGCAGCAGCAAGTCAAAGCCGCAATCAAGAAGCAGCCAGCTGGCTAGGTAGATAGCTAGCTAGCCCTGCGCTAGCGAGGCAGCTGTGTGGCTAGCTACTGAGCTACCTGGCTAGCTAGCTAGCTAGTTAGCTGGCTAGCCGGCTAGCTAGCTAGCTGGCTAGCTATTTAGGTGCATCTGGGCCTTCACGTTCAAATAGGCTGCGACTCCTTTCGACCTAGCGGCGGTCTAGACTCTAGCGAGCTCCACCTAGCCAGCCAGCTAGCTAGCCAGCAAGCTACCCAGCTAGCCAGCCAGCTAGTTAGCCAGCTAGCTGACCAGCAAGCTACCCACCTAGCTAGCCAGCTAGCTGACGAGCAAGCTACCCAGCTAGCTAGCCAGCTAGCTGACCAGCAAGCTACCCAGCTCGCTAGCCAGCTAGCTGGCAAGCTAGCCAGCCAGCCAGCTAGCCAGCTAGCTAGCTAGCTAGCTAGCTGCACGAGCTCACAGAGCATGGGAGTTACAGGGAATTCCCCGGAGAAGAGGGGCAGGCGAGCCTCCAAAAGGCGATTAATTCTCTTCAGTGGAACTTCCCAAAATATTATGTGGCCCTCAGCGTCGTAGCCGCGGCGCCCTGCACGGCCCCCGGCCTGCAGCAGCAGCAGCAGCAGGGGTGAAAGCGGAGCAGCAGCAGTAGTAGTAGCAGCGGCAGCAGCGGCAGCACACCAGGAGAGAAGCTCTAACAGGAGTAGCAGCAGGAGTAGCAGCAGGAGAAGCGAGAAGAATAATACCCGCAGCAGCAGCAGCAGTTGCTGCTGCTGCTGTTGCAGCACGAGAAGGAAGAGCAGAAGAGCGGCGAGAAGCCGGGAGCGCATGCATTAAAGAGTGGGGTGAGCAGCAAAGGAGAAGACCTTAAATGCAGAAAAAAGAATAAATTGAATAAAAAAGAATAAAATAAAAAAGAAAAAAATAAAAAGAATAAAAGAATTACTTGTTTGAACATTGTGGGAGTCAGCGCCAACGCGTCGCCAGCAAAAACTGCTGAGCGACACGGCAAGTTCATTCCCAGCGCCAGCGCGTGCGTGCAGATTATGATCCTCAGAAATCCCCATCTGAAACGGAAAATAATTCAATTATTTCGCAAAATAAAGCATTTAATTGGTCTATTTATTCAAAATAAACATGTATTTAATCAAATTAATTCATTAATTCGTTTATTTCCCTCAAATAATCCTCCTATTCGGCATATTTGTCGACTGCGATATTCAGAAATCCCCATGTGAAACGGAAAGTAATTCGATAATTTTTCGCAAAATAAAGCATTTCATTGGCCTATTTATTCAAAATAATGATGTATTTGACGAACTTAGTCGATTAATTCAAATATTTCCTCCAAATAATCCCCTCATTCGGCATATTTATCGACTTATTCGTTCTGTGATATTCAGAAACCCCCGTCTGCAATAAGAGAATAATTCAATTATTTCGCAAAATAAATCATTTAACTGGCTTAGCTATTAAAAATAATCATGTATTTAATTAAATCAAATGATTAATTCATTTATTTCCTTCAAGTAATCTTTTCTTTCGCCAAATTAGTCAATTAGTGCTTTGAAAATTCAGAAATATCCATCTCAAATCAGAAAATAATTCAGTTATTTCCCAAAATAAATCTTCTAATTTGTTTATTTAGCCATATACATGATGCATTTAACTAAATTAATTAATCAGTTGTTTTCTTTATTTTCTTCATTTTCTTCGAATGGTTCTACTATTCGTGATATTAATCGATTAACTCGTTTCACGAAATTCTGAAATCCAAGAGAATAACTCAATCATTTCGCAAAATAAATCGATTAATTCATTTAATTATTCAAATAAAATAATTAATGAACAAAATTAATGAATCAATTCTTTTGTTTTCTGTGTTTTCTCACAAAATATTCAACTAATTCCTTTTGTGCTCTTCAGAAATCCCCACATGAAATGAGAAGTAATTCAACTTTTTCACAAAACACTTCATAAAATAAATGTATTATGAAAAAAACAATTAATTCGTTTATTTCGTGAAGTGAGTCGATTGTTTTGTTTCTTCAAATAGATTAAATATTCAACAAAATTAATCAAAGAATTCATTTTTTTCCTTCAAATAATCGATTTATTTTCAAAATAAAAGATTTAATTAACTTATTTCTACAAATGATTCATTCATTTTTCAAAATAAGTCATTTATTTCATTTATTTCCTTTCATCACTTTCTAATCAATTTATTCCAAAAAGGAACACTGCGAACAAGACCCCCTGTGAGAAATAAATAAATAAATAAATAAACAATAAAGTATATTAAAAACAAATATATAAGTCAATAATAATGCTATTAATATTAAAAGAAATAAAAACCAAAAACAAGAGTTAGAGAAGAACTCAAAAGACCTGTAAAGAAGCTCAACAGCAACTTGAGAACAACAAAAACAATCAAAAAGTTAATTTTAAAATGAATAAATAAACAAAAAGCATTAATTTAAAAGAAGTGAATAAATAAAAAGAATTACAGAGACTTAAAAAGACGAATTGAAGGAAACAAAGAAACCACAGAACCCTCGCGAAAAGATATCCCAAACCCTAAACCCTAAACCCTAAACCCTAAACCCTAAACCCTAAACCCTGAAAGACCTGTAAAGAAGCTCGACAGCAACTCTGTAGCTTTTCGAAAGTCCATCGTCGAAAAGGCCCACGCCTCTCTCCAGGAGCTTCACCAGCAGCAGATCTTCTTTGCTGCTGGACCTTGCTGCAGCAGCAGCAGCAGCAGCAGCGAGTTGAAAGATTGTAAATGGTTTGCGACTCATGAGGCTAGTTCAAACCCTGGACGCTAAACCCCCAACCCTAACCCCAAACCCCAAACCCTAAACCCCAAACCCTAATCTCTAAACCCCGACCCCAAACCCCAGCCCTAGTCCCGAACCCAACTCCCACCGCAACCCAACTCCAAACCCCAAACCCCAAACCCTAAACCCTAAACCCTAGGCGCACCGTGGACCTCCTTGATGACGTGTTTGATTTCGTCGAAGTTGGTTCCCAAAGCCTTAGGGTTTGCAAACGAAAACTCCGGGTCTATTTCTTTCGCAATGTCTTCGGGGGGGGGGGGGGGCCCCTCACTCTCCATTTTGGCGAGTTCTTCTTTGGTGAGGCCCTGGGCCTCGCGCTGCTGCCGCGAGAGTCCGTGCATGCGGCGCGCCAGCTCGAACTCCAGCAGCAGCTCCTGCAGCAGCAGCAGCAGCAGCAGCGCAGCAGCAGCTGCTGCTGCAGCAGCAGCAGCACTGGTAGTACCAGCAGCAGCAGCAGCTAGTTGTAGCAGTAGCAGCAGCTAGTGGTAGTAGTGGCAGCAGTAGCAGCTAGTAGTAGCGGCAGCAGCAGCTAGTAGTAGCAGCAGCAGCAGCAGCAGCAGCAGCAAACCTCGTAGCGTTCCATTCTCTGTTTGTTAATTGCCCTTGTTCTATATGCTGCTTCTTCAGTGCCGTAATACTTGTTGTGCTGCAGATCCTCCAGCAGCCGAGAAAGGCCTATGCCCATTCGCCTCACCTAAACAGCAGCAGCAGCAGCAACAGCAACGACAACAGCAGCAGCAACAGCAGCAGCAGCGGTGTGCAGCAAATTGGCGCATTGTCGAACAAGCCACACCCCCGAACCAAACAAACAAATAAATAAGACAAATCAATAAAATAAATGAATTAAATTAAATAAATTAATTAATTAATTAAAATAAATAAATAAATAAATAAATACCTGGGGCCTGGAGAAGTTGAAAATGAGGGCTGGCAGCAAACGCCTGGCGTCGAGCGTGCGGCAGAGGGCGAGGAGTTTCTGGAAGCAAAGAGAGAATAAATAAATAAATGAATAAAATAAATTAAAATAAATAAAATAAATAAAATAAAATAAGTTAAATTAATTAAATTAAAAGAATAAACGCATGCAGATCACCTCAGGCTGCAGATAATCCCGCGGGAAAACATCCAAGTTCCGGAAGTGCTGCAGGGCGCTCTGCCTGCTGCTGCTGCCTGCTGCGTCCGCCTCCGCTGCTGCTGCTGTTGCTGCTGCTGCTGCTTCCAGCCCCTTTATTGGCCTAAATAGCTGCAGGTCGGAGACCCAAGAACTTTTAAAAGATTGAATTTCATTTTGCAAATTCAAAAATGCCTCCAAGTCTATTTCTTTGCTTTCCCGCACCATATACACGAAGTGCGCCCGCATCGTTTGCCAGTAAAAGCTGCAAATGAATAAATGAATTAATTAATTAATTAATTAATATAAATATATATAGTGATTGTGATGCTAATTATGTGAGGGAATAATTTGTAGGATGGTTGGAATGAGAGCTCATCAAGCAGCAGCAGCAGAGAAAACAAAATCAGCAGCAAGAGCTGCAGCAGCAGCAGCAAGAACAGCAGCAGCAGCAGCAAGAGCAGCAGCAGCAAGAGCCATCACCACAACCACTCTCCACCACCCGCAGGAGCACCACACCCACACAAGCAGCAGCAGCAGCACCCCCAGCAGCAGCACAACCACCCCACAAGCAGCAGCAGCAGCAGCAGCAGCACCCGCAGCAGCAGCCCACCCACACCACAAGCAGCAGCAGCAGCAGCAGCAGCAGCAGCAGCAGCAGCGGACCTGTATTGTTTTTTGGTGATGGCTGGGGTGCCTTGGAAGTAGAAAGAAGGATTGAAAAGAAAAGAAAATAAATTTGAAGTTTTTAAAATCCGAGAAAGCGCCAAATACAAATTCAAGGAGTCCACAGGAGGCAGGTAAAAGTCCTCAGCCAGGCCTTCCCCCAGGACCTGAACAACAAATAAATAAATAATAAATAAATAAATAAATGGATAAATAAATAGATAAATAAATAACAAATAAATAAACAAATAAATTGGAAGTTGAGATAAAGAGCATTTGTTTCCTTCAAGAAGCAATCGGAGAAGTGGAAACTCAAGAAATGCAGAAAATCAAAATTGCATTTCTCTTTTCATTTTCTTCTTGTTAAAATTAAAGATTGAAAAATGATTATTTAATCATTTAAATAACTAAATAATAATCATTTAGTATTATTTGCTTTTCATCTTTGCCGTTTATTCGGGCAAAAGTAAAATATCGAAAGCAGCAGCAAAAGAAACGCAGCAGCAGCAGCAGCAGCAGCAGCAAGAGCAGCAGCAGCAGCAGGGCCCGCATGCTAGTGATAATGACACGAATAAGAAAAGCATTAAAAGGGGAGCAGCAACTTTGAAGAAAATAATAAAAATAGAACAATAAAAAGACCAAATGTGGGCTGAAACCAGCAGCAGCAGCAGCAGCAGCAGCAAAACCCCCACCCCACCCCCCCTGCCCAATCGCAACCCGACCCACCGCACCCACCCCCCCCCCAACCACCACCACCACAATCCGAACAACGACCAGCAGCAGCAGCAGCAGCAGCAGCAGCAGCAGCAGGGGCGTGCCTTGTTGAAGTGGAGCGCTGCCACGGGGTTGAAGGGCAGCACTTTGTCTTGCAAGTAAAGGTGCATGTGCAAATCGCTGAAGCGCTCTTTGTGGCAAACTAGCCGCACGTCGCCCCGCGGCGCGCAGCGACGCAGCCACCCCACAAACGAGTCCGGGTTCCCCACCTGCAGTAGCAGCAGCAGCAGCAGCAGCAGCAGCAGCAGCGGCAGCGGCAGGTGAGCAGCGGCAGCGGCCGCAGTGGTGGGGCGGGCCGGTGAGCAGTGGCAGTGGCGGGGGAGCAGTAGAAGTAGCAGCAGCAGCAGGGGAGCAGTAGTAGCAGCGGCAGCAGGTGAGCAGCTGCTGCAGCAGCAGCAGGTGAGCAGCTGCTGCAGCAGCAGCAGCAGTGGTGGCAGTTGACTAGCAGCAGGTCAGCAGTGGCTGCTGCCCCCGCAGCAGCAGGCGCTCCCCAGCCGCAGCATCCACAGCACGCGCGCTGCTGCTGCTGCTGCTGCTGCTGCAGCAGGAGGTCCCCAGCAACCGCAGGAGCAGCAGCAGGGTCCGCAGCAGCAGCTGACCGTGGCGGACATGGCGAGGAAGGGACAAGGCAGCATTTGAATGATTCTTTCGACTTTTGGACCTTCTAGTTCTTCAGAAATAATATGAACTTCATCTAAAATGACATATTTCAAGTTGCTGCAGAAAGCTCGGTGGCTCGGGTGTCCAGACAGCAGCAGCAGCTCCAGAAAGTGCGGCACCGTCACAAACACCTGAGGCGCCACGCAGCATTTACTTTTATTTATCTATTGTATTTATTTATTTACTTATTTATTTATTTATTTATTTTATTTATTTAGTTATTTGTTGTTTGTTGTTGGATTTCATCCTGTTGGGTCTTTGAGCTGCTGCTGTTCGGCAACAAACGGCTCAGGAATGCAGGCAGAAACAGCAGCAGCAACAGCAACAGCAGCAACAGCAGCAGCAGCAGCAGCAGACCTGGGCGTCGAGGGCTTTGGGTGTACATACACCCTGCAAGACATGGGCGGAAAGAATCTTTTTGCAATTTACTGGATAAGATTTGCTGCTGAAGCGCCCATATATTTCTGCATACACCTGAGCAGCAGCAAAACCCAAACAGCAGCAGCAGCAGCAGCAAATAATTCGGACTCAAAAAGCACAAACCACAGAACAGCGAGAGGCACCAAATATGCTGCAGCAGCAGCAGCTGCAGCAGCAGCAGCTGCAGCAGCAGCAGCTGCAGCAGCAGCAGCTGCAGCAGCAGCAGCAGAAAACCTAACGCTGCAGCTTCTGCTGCTGCTGGTCCTGCTGCTGCAGCTGCTGCAGCTGCTCCTGCAGCTACTACTAGTGCTGATCCTGCTGCTGCTGCTGCTGCCACTGTTACCACTACTAAAGCTATTCCCACTGCTGCTGCTGCTGCTGCAAGTGTTGTTTCTGCTGCTGCTGTTGCTGCCTCTACAACTCCTAGCGCTTTTCCTGCTGCTGCAGCGCTACAACTAGCACTGCCAATACTGCTGCCGGCGCTGCTGCTACCTCTGCTGCTCTGCTGCTGCTGCTGCTGCTGCTGCTGCTGCTGCTGCTACCGCTGCTGCTGCCCCTACTACACGAACAACTACTGCTTCTCCGGCGCTGCTATCACGGGTGCCGCTGCTGCTGCTACGCTGCTGCCGCTGCCGCGTCTGCTGCTGCTGCTACCGCTACCGCTTCTGCTGCTACCGCTACCGCTTCTGCTGCTGCCGCTACCGCTGCTGCTGCTACCGCTGCTGCTGCTGCTGCTGCTGCTGCTTGCCTGCTGCGCGAGGGCCTTGTTGGGGCAGACGTAGACGATGCAGCCCTCGTTGGAGTCTCTCAAGACGAGTTCCATCGCGTAGAAGCAAACGTAAGTTTTGCCGCTGGCCGTGGGCGCAGACACAAACACGGACGCGTAGCTGCAGCAGCAGCAGCAGCAGCAAATTCGAAGGACTTTCAACTCCAGTCCAGTCCAAATTAAACATTTCTCCTCTCGAAAAGTCCACAACACTTCCGCAACAAACGGGGGATTCTGAAGTGGGGTTTGGCAGCAAAAACGGAACCAATTTCGTCGAACAGCGGCACAAAACGCCATATTAGGGTTTGCGAGGGTTTAGGGTTTAGGGTTTGAGGACACGTCAACCGCGTCAAAGAGCCTCGACTGCCACAAATCGGGGGAAAAGATAACTCTCGAATCTGGCGAAAAAGGGTGAGGGCTTTGCAAGGGCTTAGCGTCTAGGGTTTGCGAGGGTTTGGGGTTTGGGGTTTGCGAGGGTTTAGGGTTTAGGGTTTGAGGACTCGTCAACTGCGTCAAAAAGCCTCGACTGCCACAAATCGGGGGAAAAGATAACTCTCGAATCTGCTGCTAAAGAAGGAGGTCTTGTGCTGCGCTCGAAGTCGCTGCCCATGAACCGCAGCTGCGCCTCCGCCTCCTAAAACAAATTAAAAATAAAAAATAAATAAATAAATAAATAAATAGCCTATTTATTTATTTATTTATCTATTTTTAATTTTGGGGCGTCGCTCGAACGGCAGCGCGAGATGCGAAGAAACACTGCTGCTGCTGCTGCTGCTGCTGCTGCTGCTTTTGATCGCTGCTGCTGCTCCTCCTACCCCTACTGCTGATGCGTCTGTTGCAGCTGCTGCTACTGCAGCAGCTGCTGCTGCTGTTGCTGCTGCTCTAAATCTTACTGCTGCTACGCCTGCTGCAGGTGCCGCTCGTACTACTGTTGCTGTTGCTGCTGCTGCTGCTGCTGCTGCTGCTAACCTGTCCTTCTTTGATTGCAAATTCGTATTCGTCCGCCTTCTCCACTCTGTAAATGTCCAGGTCGATTTTCTCGCGATTCTTCTGCAGCAGAAAAGCCGAATCCCACAGCTAGCTAGCTAGCTAGCTAGCTAGCTAGCTAGTTAGCTGGCTAGCTAGCTAGTTAGCTGGCTAGCTAGCTACTTAGCTAGCTAGCTAGATTGCTAGCTGCCAACTAACGGGTTAGCTAGTCAACTAGCTAGCTAGCTGGCTAGCTAGCTGGCTAGCTAGCTCCCCACTTAACTGGCAAGCTAGTTAACTAGCTAGCTATCTGCCTAGCTAGCTGCTTAGCTAGCTAGCTAGCTGGTCAGCTAGCTAGCTAGCCAGCTAGCTAGCTTTTTATCTTACGTCGTGTTTCTTGTGTTTGTGTGTGGCTGCGGAGAGGGCGCCGTCGGCGAGCTGGCCGTTGGTTAGCTGCTGCTGCTGCTGCTGCAGCTGCTGCTGCTTCCACTGTTCGAAGAGCAGCGCAGCAGCTTTCGAAAAGCCCAGCGACAGCAAACTGCGCTGCAGCTGCTGCACCTCTTCGCCAGTTAGCTGCTGACAAAACAGCCGCCCAATTTCCATATTAAACCGAAACATCAGACACAGCAAACCCCGCAGCTCCAGAAAGGCCTCCCTGCGCAGCAACCGCAGCAGCAAATGCAGTCAGAAGCTGACTCGCAGCAGCAGCAGCAGCAGGAGCAGCAGGAGCAGCAGCGGCAGCAGGAGCAGCAGCGGCAGCAGCAGCAGCAGCAGCAGCAGCAGCAGCAGCAGCAGCAGCAGCAGCAGCAGCAGCAGCAGCAGCAGCAGCAGCAGCAGCAGCAGCAGACTTGGAGTCGCAGTCCGCAGCGCGGAACTCCTTGAAGGCGCTGTGCAGCAAGGTGTGCAGCGAGAAGCAAAACAGCTTTTGCTTCTGCTTCGTTTTGAGTGTATGTACAACAGCAGGAAGGCCCAGCAGCAAATTCATCCGCCGCCCAGTGCCCAGCAGCGCCTCCAGCATAATTTCTTTGACAGCAGCAGCAGAAAGCCAGTAAGTTCGTCCCTTGAAGCAGCAGCAGCTCTCCAGCCCCCGCCGCTTGCTGCTGCTGCTGCTGCTGCTGCTGCCGCTCTTCTCCGCGCACAGCGCCACCAGCTGCGCTCAACCAGCAACGCACCCCACCAGCAGCAGCAGCGATGCGCACAGCAGCAGCAGCAGCAGCAATACACACAGCAGCAGCAGCAGCAGCAAATTCCACACAGAAGCAGCAGCGCCGCAGACACCAGCAGCAGCAGCAATAGACACAGCAGCAGCAGCACCGCGAGCAGAAGAGCAGCAAGGCGGGAAGTCCGAGGGTTTAGGGTTTAGGGTTTAGGGTTTGTCGGACGAGGTTTTCGAGGTTTTCTGCTCTTTCCGCATCGACATCGAGAGTCTTTTGTTCTTTTGCTGCAGCATTTTTTTGTTTGATAATATCTGCTTTTTTTAAAGCTGGACTTTTAGGGTTTTTGCGCTGCTTCTCTGCTGCTGCCTTCTTGCTGCTGCTGCTGCTGCTGGGCCTGCCCGCCGCCGCCTCCTGCTGCTGCTGCTGCTGCTGCTGCTGCTGCTGCTCTGCTGCTCGCCACGGGTGGTTCACGTGGTTCACCACAATGTTGAAGTGCAGCGGCTGCGGGCAAATCGACTTCGCCATTCGCGTCACATTTCGCAGGTTTTGCTGCAGTCTGCAGCAGCAGCAAATCAAAAATAAATAAACGAATAGATAATAAATGATAAATAAATAATAAATAAATAATAAATTAATCTTTATTTGGGCTTTTTCAGCTTCATTTTGATGTGCTTTCCTGCTAAAGTCGCACAGAAACGGCGTAGGCCCAGGCAGCAGCAGCAGCAGCAGCAGCAAACCAAGGAAAAGGGCTCAAACAAGCAGCAGCAGCAGAAGCAGCAAACCAAGTGAGAGAGCTCAGCAGCAGCAGCAGCAAACCAAGGAGAAGGACTCAAGCAGGCAGCAGCAGCAAAACGAATAGCGCTCAGCGCAGTAGCAGCAGCAGCAGCAAAACGAAACTGGTTCAGCGCAGCAGCAGCAGCAGCAGAAAAGGAAAAGGGAAATTCAAAACACCGAGAAAAATGAACTAATTGAAACTGAAGAAAAGCAGCAAATAAAAACCGGCGAAGCAAAATGAAACAAATTCTAAAAAGCAAGAAAACTAAAAAGAACAAAACAAACACAAGTAAATAAATAAAACAAATAAGCAAATGAAACAAATGCAATAAACCAATTAAATAAATAAACGAAATGAATTAAACAAACAAACAAATAATTAATTAATTAATTAAACAACAAATAAGTAAATAGACAAATAAATAAAAGCACCTTCTGCGGACTCTGGCTGCCCAGAACTTTCTTTTTTCCTCTCCATTCATCTTTTCCATTCGCTGCAGTTCTGCGCGCGTGGGCACTCGGGACTCATCTTTCGCGAGAGTTTCTTGCAAAATCTGCAATTAACGCCGGAAACAACCCCAATTTCGATTTAATTTAATTACATTTGATTTTGTTTTGTTTTATTTCACCAAATTGTCCAAAAAATCAAATTTACACCCCAAAATCCAAGAGTTACGCAAACCCGGAAGCCCGCACAACTCTCACGTGTATAGGCAGCCCTCAGGTGTACGCGCATCTCTCCGGTGTACACGCAGCTCTCAGGTGTATACGCAGCTTTTAGATAAATGCAATGCTCTCAGGTGTATTTGTATCTTTTAGATAAATTTCAGGTGTATCTGCAGCTCTGGGGTGTATCTGCAACTCTCAGCTGTATCTGCAACTCTCAGGTTTATCTGCAGCTCTAAGGTGTATCTGCAGCTCTGAGGTGTATCTGCAACTCTCCGCTGTATCTGCAGCTCTCAAGTGTATCCGCAACTCTCAGCTGTATCTACAGCTCTCAGGTGTATCTGCAAATCTCAGGTGTATCTGCAGCTCTCAGGTGTATCTGCAGCTCTCAGGTGTATCTGCAGCTCTGGGATGTCTGTACAGCTCTGGGGTGTCTGTACAGGCGTACCTCGGCAGGGGCATCAACAAAAGAAACATTTTCGGAAATTCTTTTTTGGTGAATTTGATTTCGGATTTGAAGGACTTTTTGGAGTGTATAGACAGCTTCTCCCTTGAGCAGCTGCTGCTCGTCTTCGGAGTCGGAGGCTGGCGTTTCTGCTGCAGTGTCTTCGCTGTCGCTGCCCTGCTGCTGCTGCTGCTGCTGCTGCTGCAGCAGCTGCTGCTGCGTCTCCCGCTGCACCAGCTGCAGCTCCTCCCCATCTGCTGCCAGCAGCACTTTCGGCAAAGCCCCATTTGGTGCTGCTCCAGCTCGCAGCCGCAGCAGCAGCGAAGAAGGCAGCTCCAGCATGTTCACTGCGGGCTCCTGCTGCTGCTGCTGCTGCTGCTGCTGCTGCTGCTGCGCTGCGGGCGGCCGCCGCGGCGGCGGCAGAGCTGTGGGGTCCTGCAGCAGCTCCTTCAGACTCTGTAGAGACACCGGAAAGAAAGAAGTTTCTAAAATCTTATTTTTGTCTCCGCTGCAGCAGCGGCTCCAGCAGCTTTCTATTTCTGCTGCTGCTGCAGCAGACACTCCTGCTGCTGCTGCTGTTATTTCCCACTTCCCGCTGCGCCGCGCAGCAGCAGCAGCAAGAGCTATCAGCACCAGCAGCAGCTTCCCGTCGAAGAAGTCCGCCAGCTCCTGCCCGTCCAGCAGGCCCAGCAGCAGCTCCCGCTGCTGCTGCTGCTGCTGCTGCTGCTGCAGCAGCAGATAGTCGTTGAGCCGCGTCAGCAGCAGCTCCGCTTGGGAACAGAAAAGCCTCAAAGGCGCATAAAGAAATTCTGTTACGAATTCGCATTTGCTGTAGCAGCTGCGGTAGCCGCTGCTGCGCTGCAGCAGCAGCAGCTGCTGCTGCAGCGCTGCTGCCAGCAGCAGCAGCTTGCCCACTGCAGCAAACTGCAGCAGCTGCTGCTGCTCCTCTTCGCTCTCTGCGCTTTCGCCCTTCAGGAATTCGAAGAAGAGTTCCACCAAGAAGAAGCGCAGCGGGGCTGTGGGGCGCTGCTGCTGCTGCTGCTGCTGCAGCTGCTGCAGCTGCTGCAGCAGCTTCTCGCCCTCCCGCTGCTGCTGCTCCCCCAACGGGGGCGGCAGCAGCTCGAGCTCCTGCAGCAGATCCCTGTGCTGCTCCAGCCCCCGCTGCATCGGACACTGCTGCTGCTGCTGCTGCTGCTGCTGCTGCTGCGCGTCTCCCCCCGCCTCCCCTCCCTCCTCCACCGCGCCGCCGCCGCTGCTGCTGCTGCTGCTGCTGCTGCTGCTGCGGGCCTCCATGAGGCGCCAGAGGTTGGCGCCTGCGTAGCAGGAGACGGAGGGGGCGAAGACTTTGGTTTGTTTGAGATTTAAATTATTTAAAAAGGAAACAAAAAGTCCCAATTTGCTGCATGCAAGACACAGGGACTGCAGCAGGAAGGAGGCGCAGCGGCAGCTGCCTCTGCGGATGTCTTTGAGGGCTTCTTGCTGCAGCTGCGCGGCCTCCAGGCCTGCTGCTTCTCCCGCTGCTGCTGCTGCTGCTGCTGCTGCTGCGGGCTTGCTGCGCTGCTGCGGCGGGGCCTCGTCGCTGCTGCTGTCCCCGAAGTCCCCCTCCAAGGCTTGCTGCTCCTGCTGCAGCTCGAAGACATGAATGTCGTTCAGCAGCAAAAAGAGCGGCTGCTGCGCTGCAGCAGCAGCAGCAAACTCGGGGCCCCACCAGTTGTCCAGCGCGAGCACCGGGACGCCCTGCTTCTGCAGGTGCAGCAGCAGCAGCTGCTGCAGCAGCAGGAACAGCGGGTGCACTGCAGCAGCAGCAGCAAAGGCGCGGAAGAACAGCACTTTGAAGTGGCCACCGGCCTGCTGCAGCTGCTGCAGCAGCAGCTCCGCCTGGTACAGCAGCCGCAGCGGCTGCAGCCCCCGCTCCACGTCCAAGTCCAAGTGCTGCTTCTGCAGCAGCAGCAGCAGCAAACCATCTCCAGATATATAAAATAAATATCCCCCCCCCAGTTCCTCCAGCAGCTCCGCGCGGTTTTGCTGCAGCAGCGAGGCCCAGGCTTCGAGCCGCGGCAGCGGCTGCAGCAGCAGCGCTGCTGCTAGCTGCTGCGCTGCAGCAACTTCCGGCCCCACTTCCAGCTGCGCCTCGATCTGCAGCAAACCTGCTGCTTCTCCTTCTCCTGCTGCTCCCTCATCTTCCCTTCCTGCTGCTGCTGCTGCTGCCACCGGCGCGTCGTCCCCTGCTGCTGCTGCTGCCTCCCCCAGGCCCTCTTCGAACGCCCCCGCCATCTTCCCACACGCGCAAAACACCCTGCTGCTGCTGCTGCTGCTGCTGCTGCTGCTGCGGTCCGGAGCTGCCGGGCGGAGCCCGCTGTCCGTACACCCCAGCCCGCAGCGGCGCTGCTGCTGCGGCGGAGGCGCTGCGGAGCTGCTGCTGCTGCTGCAGACACCTGGCAGCAGCAGCAGCAGCAGCAGCAGAGCGGAACCGAAGCAGTGGTGCAGCAGCAGCAGGCTGAGCGGCTTGCTGCTGACTTAGAAGAAAGCCCGAAGCAATTTGCTGCTGAGACAAGCAGCAAAAGAAAATAAGAAAGAAAATAAAAGTTCATTAAAGAAAAATAAGACAGCCAGCGGCACTGCAGCGGCGACAGCCGCAGCCGTTAGCGAGCGCGGGGAGTTTTGCTGCTGCTGCTGCTGCTGCTCGAAGAAGATTCAAGAATCATTGCTGCTTCCCTGCTGCTTCAGCTGCCTGCCCACAAACACACAAAGCCACAAACAACTCTCGAGCAGCAGCGCAGGAGCCAGTCAGCAGCAGCAGCGCAGCAGCCCCACGCTGCTGCTGCTGCTGCTGCTGCTGCTGCTGCTGCTGCAGCGGCCCGTTCCCACGCGCTGCTGCAGCTCGCGTATAACTTTGAGTCTTTTTTTTACTTTTTTATTTATTATTTCTTTCCAACTTTTTATTTCTCTAAATCTGCTGCTGGGGTTTAGCTGCGCAGCCGGCGCTCTTGGGTCGAGCAGCACTAGCACCAGCAGCAGCAGCTGCTGCTGCTGCTACTGCAGCAGCAGCTGCAATACTTCGAGTTAAAGAGAAAGCTAAAAACAATTAACTAAAACAGAAACTGAGAGGCTTTTCTCTCCCCCGCAGACAGCTGCGGCGTTGAGGTGTACGTACACCCCAACTACTGCTGTCACCGCAGCAAAGTGTAAAGTCGAGCAGCTTTTCAGATAATGAATAAATCACTTTTAATTCTTTTTCTTTTTTGATTCTTCTGTGAAACAAAGGCCCTTCTCTCACCTTCTGCAGCTCTAGGCCGCTGAAAAAGCTGCTGCAGCGCAGTAGCAGCAGAGCAGCAGTAGCAGCGCAGCAGCAGCAGCGCAGCAGCTGCAGCACAGCAGCAAAAACAACTTTCCGCCTTTCCTTCGTTTCACCGAAGCAAATGCCACTTTCTTTTAGGCAACAGAGAGCAGCACATGCGCCTTTATTAGGCTAGGGTTTAGCTAGGATTTAGCTAGAGTTTTGCAAAACCGTAGCTAAACCCTAGCTAAACCCTAGCCTCATAAACCCTAGATAAACCCTAGATAAACCCTAGC